GAGAAGCTGTAGCGCACTGAGCAGTGGGCACTTTTTCACCTCATGCTAAGTCCTCTGGATGTCTGCCATCTTTAAAACTAACAACCCTGTTTGAGTTTTGATCTTTTAAAGACAGGGTTTCTCTAGCTAACCCATGCTAATCCTGCCTCAGCCTCCTGAGGGCTCAGATCACAGGCATGCCCTTCCACAAACTGGACGACTCTGATCTTTGTAGATTTAAACATGAAAGAAAAAACAGTAAGTTTCCATAAGAAATGCCAAAGAATGTCATTATCTTAGGAGTACAGAGATTTTCAAAATAAGACACAAAACACATTAATCATAATTGAGAAAAAATTATCCATTAGATAAAACTTAACTCCTAGTCATAAAAAACATTAAGAACAATAAATCAAGACAGCAAGTGAGAAGTGTTATTTGGTTGATCAAAAGGTCTGATGTACAATACATTTTCTTAAAAGTTACTAGTGGGCGAAAGAGTGGAATAGAAACGCTACCTAAGACAGTACTTAAATATATAATAATCATATTTCAAAGGTACCTGACACTTAGTCACCAGAAAAGCTAATATTAAACTACAGGCAGATACTAGTGCCCACAATACTAAGTGTGACCAAAAGTATGCTCCACTGTCAGTATGAATACAAACTGGTGCAAGAATTTTGAAAAAACAGCTATTTATCTATCAAAACCAAGTATCTGTGCAGCTTTATATCCTGCTATTCAAATGATAGGTATACTTTAACAAACACATATGCACATCAAGTACATGAACAAAAATAGTCAAAATCCCCTACTGAACAATACCAAAGTAAAACCAACTAAAACGTCCACTTACAGTAACAGGACAATTATGATACATACCTACAATGAAATACTACCCAACAATAAGAAAAACGAACACTTCTATCTACAAAATGGATGTCAACACACATAACTCTGAAAAGAGACTTAACAAATCAAGTACCATTAAACATGAGTTCAAAATATGTAAAACTTTTTTGTTGGAATTTAGTAGAATGGATATCTGGGTGTTAATGAGTTGGGGGCTGGAGAAATGGTGTGGTGGTGAAGAGCATCCACTGCTCTTCCAGAGGAATGGGGTTCAATTTCCAGAACCCACACGGCAGCTCACTATGCACTGCAGTTCTAGGGGTCCGATGGCCTCTTCTGACTTTCTCAGGCTCTTCCACACACATGGCGCACACACATATGCTTAAGATAATAGTTTTTAAAACTATATGTATTTACATGTTGGAGTTCAGGGAGATTGGCAGAGTAGTGATAAGGAATGCTTTGAGAAAGACCTCTAGCTCCTTTCAGCTCTGAACTCAATGGTCTGTTTACTTTCTGAGTATTCATCTCTAATGATACATTTTTCTGTGTACACATTATCCTTCAGTGAGATTTATGGGAAGAAGGACCAAGTCCTGGAGGGAAACAGGTTAAGAGACACAACTTTTAAAACTAAATGTTCTATACACCTGAAACTCCAACAGTTAGGAGGCAGGGGCAGGGGGATCAGGACCTCCACTCCAGCCCCAGACAAGTAAGAGACTAGGCCACCCTGGGCTTTATGAGCTCCTATTTCAAAAACAAACAAACAAACAAACAAACAACAACAGAGCAGCTCTCCAACAACAACAGAACAGCTCTCCCTGGGAAAGCAAGAGATTAGAAAGAACTGATCTAAGTAAGTGTACTCTTTTGCTCTGCTGTGTGAGCCTTTAGGCTCCAGTCTCATTAACTCTTGCTTAAGGACAAGGCCAAAGCTAATACTAACCTGAAGACACAGGCACAGTCATCTAGGCTGTTTCTGTCTGATTTGATCTCTGTTTTGATTTTTCCTAAGCTCTCAATAAAAGAAAATGAAATAAAAGAAATAAAAGAATCCAGCTGGGCATGGCGGCACATGCCTTTCGCAGCACTTGGGAGGCAGAGGCAGGTGGATCCCTGTGAGTTCAAGCCTGCCTGGTTCCAGGACAACCAGGGCTACACAGAGAAACCATCTCAGACGACAAAAGACAAAAAAAAAAATTAACTAAAAAAAGAAACTAAGAAAAACATAAATGAGAGTTCATTATATATTCTTACTCCACACTAAACAAAAGAGGACTTTATAAAGGAATATGGACTGTGCAGTTTCCTAAGAATCAAAAGGAGTACTTGTAGATGACAAGCTTGAGTCAAGGGAGTAGCAGATGGCAAAGACCTGGGGGCCAGAGCCACAGCTGGCAACAGAGAAGCAGCCATTTCCTAGAGTTCCCGGAGAAGACTAGAAAGACAGCAGTAACCAAGCTCAGCAGTCCACACTCGGGACCCATTAACAAGTTAAGCACCTCTTTTATTTAATAGCTAAAGCAAAGTTTTCATCTCGTAAATATTACATAAAGAGAAAACTTTTTGTTTCCATTACATTTACTTATTTACTGGGGGAGGCACATGCAATGAGGTGCAGGTGGAGGTCAGGGAAACCTGCAGACACTGGCTCTCTCCTTCAGCCAGACCCAGATGTGTCCACGGGAGCAACTTTAAGCAGGCAGGCGTGGCAGTAAGTGCCTTTACTCACTGGGCCATCCTTCCAGCCACCGTAAAATAAAAAGCCTTATCATTTATTATAATTCCTAAATTCAGTTTTAAAGTTAACTTTTAAAAACTCCCATTAATACATGAATGTGTTTATCACATTAAAAAAATTGCTAAAACATCCTTGCATGGTATGACAAGAGTATTTGTGATATTGTGCAAACTGTTTGATTTGAAGTCTAAGAAACATAGTATAAAACTTGTCATTTAGCACAGTGACAATAAGTTACTTACACACAATAAATGACAAAAAATGAATGACCTAGCACTACAGGACTTTCTTGTTCTACCATTTCATTTCTCAATACTCAACCCATTACTCAAAGTCTCTAGGGGCTGGAGTATTCATTTGTAATTTATTATATGTTTCTTTATTGCTAAAATGCATTAAGGTATACCAATATTTAACTACTTTAAAGTGTAAATAAAAGCATGCTATAGTACAACTTATTGCATATAAAATACTTACATAGGACACGGGACAGTTACAACTCAATAAATGATAGACTAGATGCCAGTCCTGATTCGGCCACTAAACCCAGTAACTCAGACAAGTTACTATCTGGAATTCTATAAAATGAGTTGGCTAGTAATGAATGCTCTATTGTTTCCATTATAAAAATATTTAAATTCCAAACAGCTGGACAAAACAGCCCTACAGACTACAGCTAGGATATCTGAATCTTCTTCGAATCCCCCAAGACAGTGCCCCTTACCAGCAGGAAGTAGTTTGGAAAGAACGACGCCCAAATTCCCAAATACTGTGTATAAATGTTTGTTTTCATTTAATTGGACTTTGTTATATAAAATTAAATAAAAAAAATAAAAAAATATTTAAATTCTAGTTCTCAAATATGCTGCATCAGGGAATAACCCTCATACATGCACATTAAAATTTAAATACTGTCCTGTTTTCCAGGCTACTGTATACAGAAGAATACACAGCAAACATGCTATTGGGAACATCAACTGAAAGAAAGTACTAAAGCAAAGGGCAAGCACGGGACGAGAATGAGACTTTGTTCTACTCCTAGTAGTGCTGACAATCTCAAAAGCCTTTCAGTAGAGAAAGCTCCCGGAGACTACTGTGTCCATCCCATACACCAGAATGTTATATCAGTTACTACCAACCCCCAGAAGAAGGAAAAAAAAAAAAAAAAAAATAAGAATCAGGGGCTGGAGAAATGGCTCAGCAGCTAAGAGCACAGGCTGTTTGCCCAACGGACCTGAATTCAATTCTCAGTACCACATTGGCAGCTCACAACTGTAACTCCAGTTCCAGAGGATCCAATACTCTCACACAGACATACATGCAGGCAAGATACAAATGCACATAAAATAAAAATAAATACACTTTAAAAACTCTTTTTAAAAACACCTATAGTCAACTGGTTATAGTCTAAACTTTCCCTCACCTTTGGTTCAGTGACAAAGGCACTGGCTTTTAGATAGACCACACATTAACTTAAAAAAAAAAAAAAAAAAAAAAAGGCAAACTCTAGTTTCTAAAATAATGTTCTGCAGAAAAGAGTAGGAAATGGAAATTAGCTTAAAATTCTGTGGTGGTTTGTATGAGAATGGCTCCCTGTAGGCTCTATCTGAATATCTGTTACCCAGTTAGTAGAGTGTTTAGGAAGGATTAAGAGAAGGTATGTTACTTGGGGAAGGAAGGGGAGGCTTTGAGGTTTCAAACATTCAAGTCAGTCCCTGTCTTTCAGCCTCCTGCTTATAGGTCAGACATAAACTCTCAGCTACTGCTTCAGGGCTATGGCTATGCCTGCCTGCCTGCCTGGCACCACAGTTCCCATCATGATGATCATGGACTAGCAAGCCTCCAATTCAATGCTTTCTGTTATGTGTTGCTTTGGTGAAGGTGTCTCTTCACAGCAACACAAAGTAAGAAAGGCTAATGTGTACTAATGTTTTCACATAGTTACATACTAAGTAGTGATTACTCTGTATTACAGTAAATTTAATACTAGCCAGCATGTATTTAGCACCTACTAACTTGATGGGCCCAATGCTAAGCACTTACAGGGCATTACAAAGAAGACAGCTGTAGGTGATTTACAGAGTTAAAAGGTACTATTATTTTAAGGACTGGAAAATACCTGCTTAAATTAATTTTACTTGGTCCAAGTGAAATCCTTGTCCAGAGAAAAGGGGGATTAGGGGCAGGAGACAGACTCAGAATATTAAGTATTTAACTAACTGATTTTTAAGTAAATTAAAAAACAGAAATTGAATTTTAAACTTACAAATTCATGCCAAGAAGTTACTCCCAAACAGTTTCACCATACTCTTACCTTTTTACTTCAAATCTACAGTACGATTAAGAGGAAAACCACAAGTCTATCTAAAATGTACAATTAAAATCTATTTTTAAAAAACCCAAAAAACTAAAAACCTCTTACCTGAGCATGAAAATTGGACATAGTCGTTGTCTCTATATCTTTTTTTCCCAATATCTCCATTTTCACTGGTGAATTGGGAAAATTATATGAAAAGTAGTCTAAAAAGTCAGGTAAATAAGTAGCTGCCCCATGAACAATACCCATTACATAGAAAGCTGCAGAACTTTCATTTTCACTGAACACTAAGCCCACGAATTCTTCTGCAAATCTCTGCATCTCCACAGGAGACAGGCAGGAGAGCTCATCGCTGTAGGCATGGACGACAGACGCACCTCCATTAGGCTGGTGCTCAGCATGAATGAGCCGCTTGAACTCCAAGGTGTCCAACCTCTTAAGGTTGGTCTGAACTCGTGCTTCCTTCAATGAGACAAACGGGAAGTCACTGTTACCGGTGATTTTAGAACCGCAGTTCTTGGCATCCAAAGGTTTTCCAATGTGATCCTTTATGTTATCATTTAAGATGCCTTTGGCTTCTTGATCTTCAGTATCATACAGCAATCCTGAACAGATGGTCTGAATAGATTTACTATACATTTTTGGACGCTTCCGTTTTTCATTCTCTTTGTGTTTCTTTTTCTTTTTCTTCTTTACTTTTTTAATTTGTAAGTCGTCTACATTCGTTTTTGGTTTCTCCTTCCCACCTGTTGGGAAAAAATTTTTTTTTGAAACTCCATATTTTAATTACTTAAATTAAAAAAAAAAAAAACATGCTTTTGGAACTGTTTTGTCATAGGTAAGTGTACTTGTGAAACGTCTGAAAAAATCACTGAATTTACTTACTATTCAAATTTCCCTTTGTTTTCCTTCTCTCTCGTCCACTCTCTGCCTTTATATATACACAGACAGCAGACTCAGGACTGACCCAAGTAACGAGTGAGCCAAAGCTCAGAACATGTAATCTTCAAACGGAAAAAGTAGAGGCTCAGAGATAAATGTGAGCAATACCCTTCAGATAGTTCTCATGGATAAAGTTTACTTTATCTAAGGTTTTTAAAAACTGAAATCCAGCCAGGCTGTGATGGTGCACACCTTTAATCCCAATACTCGGGAGGCAGAAGCATGTGGACCCCAGTGAGTTCAAGACCACCCTGGCCTACAGCTGGAGATCCAGAACAGCCAGGGATACACAGAGAAACCCTGTCTCAAACCCCCCACTGCCTCATTATAAAAAAAAAAAAGTGGGGGTACAGCACACCAGTCCCTTAGCTTTCCCTCTCCTCCTCAGTAAGCAAACTCATCTACCAAAGTCCATCACAGCTTAGAGCTGCAAGTCAGGATCCAGCAAGTGCCTACAGGAGATGACAAGATTAGAGCCCTCTCTCATACACAATGCTCTGATGATGCCCAGGCACTAGGTAAAGAGATGGAATGAAAGAGAGACATAAGAGTAGAAGGACCATATACGCTTATGTACTGAAGAGTTTCTGTGAACAAAGGTAGCAGACCCTGGGTCAAAAGCCCAGAAATCCCAGGAATAAGGACCAATCTAATCCACACAGGCTATTTAATCAGAAAACCTGCGTATACAAAAAACACATATGTCATTTACACACACACAATAATAAATACTTCATTTTTCTTATATAGAAGCAGACTATGAAAATGTATGTGTGTTTCAAAACACAGTTTCCTAAGATAAAAGGACAACAAAGTAACAATTCAGAAAAGAAGACATTGTTTCTGCTACTTCCTTCTTGTTTTTGTTTGGAAGGGGTGTTGTGTATGTCTGTGTACCACATGTGACTGGTGCCCTAGAACAGGAGTTACAGACAGGTGTGCACCTGCCTCCAGCTGGGGTGCCGGGCATTAAACCTGGGTCCCCTGAAAAAGCAGCCAGTACTCTTAACCATGATTCTTCTCTCCAGCCCTATTTTTAAGGCATTTTGGTTGTTTTGATTTTTAAGGCAAAATGACAGTGAACAGTCTGCCCAGGCTATAGTACTGAGGTTACAGGCCTGAACTATCACATTCAGGTTTGTCATTCTATTCTATTCTTGTGATAGTCCATAAATAAATAAATAAAATTATCCCACCTGCCTATTTTGGGAGAGTGGTTGTGCATTTTTCAGATGAATCTCAAATAAGTTCAGGATAACCCTGAATTTACTCCTCCTCCCTCCTTTCCCAAGTTCTGGGATTAGAGGCATGCCTACCACCCCCAGGATTATGCCCTGCAAAGGACAAAATCCAGGGCTTTGGCACAGTAGGGTATACTTCATCGCCAGAGCCACATCCCTGGCCCTCACAATGCTTCTTTTACATGAAATTTTCATTTTTAAAACTAAATTTCTCAGGGCAATTCCCAAGACTTGAGTCTCAGAAAGAAACACCTCCACCTGGTGTGTTTCCTTTATTCAACACTCTTACTTTTCAGTGTGTGTGCACAAGCATGCACATGCATGCCAAAGCTTGTGTGTTGCAGTCAGAGGATAACCTTCAAGACTCCGCTCTTTCTTTCTTCCTTCCTTCCTTCCTTTCTTCCTTTCTTTCTTTCTTTCCATGTAGGTTCCAAAGATCAAATTTTCCATCTAAGTCAGTGGTTCTCAACCTGTGGGTCACAACCCATCAATATCCTGCAGATATTTATTATTAATAACTAGCAAAATCACACTTACGAAGTGGCACTGGGATACTTTTATGGTTGGGGATTACCACAACGTGAGGAACTGTATTAAAGGGCCGCAGCAATAGGAAGGGTGAGAAAACAAATTCTGTCTAGGTATGAGCATCTTAAAACAAAAACTAGGGACTATCCATGCATGCTGCTCAGGTGGTGCAATGCTTCTGTCAAATGCATGATGCACCTGGGTCAATTCCAGCACCACAAAAAAACAGGTATAGTAGCATACAGCTGTAGCCCCTGACCTCAGAGGTAGAAGTGGAAGAACCTGGAAATTCAAGGTCATCCTTGACTATATACTAAGTTCTGAACTAACCTGAGATACATGAGACACTGTCTCAAAAAATTAATTATTCAAAAAAAGAATAAAATAAAGAGTAAAACAGAGTAACCAAATAAAAGAGCAAAGAAGTTTTAAGCAAAATCCAATAAAATAAGAAAAAAGCCTATCAGTAAGATTAAAAATATAATTTAAAGGGCATAGGTTGCTTGTTTGGTTGGTTGGTTGTTTTTTGTTTTGCTTTGGTTTTTCGAGACAGGGCTTTTCTGTGTAGCCTTGGCTGTCCTGGAACTCAGAGATCTACCTACTTCTGCCTCCTGAGTGAGAGAATTAAAGGGTTCAGTGGTGCCACCACTGCCCAGCTTGGGCATAGATAGGTATTAATAGCAACCTCAAACCTCATAATGGAAAGTGCCATGTAAACGGCACAAATTAAATCACTTTGAGATAAACAAAACCTGACTGCAGTGAAAATGTTTAAATTTAATTAAATTCACCCTTAACATATTTTTGTATTAAAATAGGAAATAACCTATAACCAACCACATTACTTTGAAATAGACATTTAGTCTATTCCCTAGTGTTCAGTATGAACAAAAAAAAAAAAAAAAAATATTACAACAGTCAGCAATTCAAAAATTCAAACTAATAAATGGATGGAAGACTCTTTAAGTTGGGCATCAAGGAGCTAAATTCTGCTGGCAAATTACTTTGCAATTAACTATTACAGTGTTCAGAGATGACATGCCTAAGACTGCTTGCTAAGCTGGCCCTTACCTGGCCCTTGCAAACTCAAATTCTGAAGGGTTCCTACTATTTGCTTCACTGTTCTCATTTGCACAAATAATATTTTGTATGCTGAGTACTTGTTTTCTATACGCTGAATACTATTTTCCTTTTTTTTTTTTTTTTTTTTTTTTCCTTTTCTTTTCTTTTCTTTTCTTTTCGGTTCATAGTAGGTAGGTGGTGGCAAACCTGAGTCACTGATGAGCTTCCTTGTCCACACATTCTATGCATGCTATCACAACTTACTGAAATTTGGTACATCCTATGGAGCTCCACTTGGAAAGGATTCTTATGTTTCACTTCCCACAGATATTATCCTATGCTCTTTTGCCTCTATGTTTATTTTTCTCTGTACCCTTTCATAATAATAAATCATGATATAAGAACAAGTATTGTGCTGGGCCCTGAGAGTCTTCTCACCTCTTCACAGAACCAGAATGTAGGCTTGGAAACCACCAAAGAACAGAGTTAAATGTGTTCTTTACACTAAACCAAACCCAGGAACTAGCTTGCACTGGAAAGATTTTAAGAACATTATATAATCTCTCATTCATTCTGTTTCTTCACATGATGCCTATTTAGAAAATTTTAAAGTACCTTAAGGAAGTATCATTTTGAATACCAATTGTTGTTTGTTACAGTAAAAAATACCAAAAGTTCACATTACTCTAAGCCTTTAATTCTAAGAAAAACCAATGATTCTGATATAATAAAAGCCCTTGAGATAAATTTAGGACAGAAACAGGACTGCTGTCTAAGGAACACAGACAACTCTCAAATTATGTATGACCCAAAGTAAAAGTGCTGGAGTGCAGAACAGGCAAGGACGCACAGACTGGGCAGAGGGGACCCCACATATGAAGGAAGACCTAGGGGTCGAAGTGGGTGGGTAGGTGCCAACTGAAAGCAAAAGAAATAGGAACAGGAAAGCTCAGATACTCGTTCAACAAGAGACAAAGGGACACCCACAAAAGACAAAAAAAAAAAAAAGAAAGAAAAAAAGAAAGAAAGAAACAACAGAACATTGAAAGCACACACAGCAAGCAGGGTAGTGTACATGTGACCCTAGTAACTCAGGAGCCCTAAAGGGAAAGGATAAAGAGCTTGGACCAGCAGCCAGAAGGTGATGGTGAACACCTTTGATCCCAGCACTTGGAATGTAGAGGCAGGCGGATCTCTGTGAGTTCAAGCCCAGCCTGGTTTACAAAGCTACACAGAGAAACCCTGCCTCGAAATACCAAAGAGAGTTTGGACCAGCAAGGGTTATACAGCAACCTCCAGGACAGCCTGAAAAGGTCTGCCTAAAAGAAAAAGAAAGGAGGTGAGAGGAAGAGGAGGAGAGTGGGGGGCGCTAAAGGAGAGAGTGGGGAGAAAGGTGAGTGAGGACAAGGGAGAGAAGAGAACAGAGGCATATGCTTTGGGTGGCAAATTATGAAATGCTTGCATTAAAAATAAGTTTGCTGGGTGGTGGTGGCGCACACCTTTAATCCCAGCACTCAGGAGGCAGAGGCAGGCAGAGCTCTGAGTTTGTGGCCAGCCTGGTCTACAAAATGAGTTCCAGGAAAGTCAAGGCTACACAGAGATACTCTCGGGAAAAAATAAAATAAATTAGTTAAGTGTTCATTGATACTAATTTCTACCTATCACTAATCTTGATATATCTTTCATGCTAACAAAGTAAAAAAAAATTATCTAGAAAACTGATGTCCTTTCATATCTAATACAGGAAATAATACATTCAACTCTATTACCACACAGAGAAAACAGAAGCAGTTTACTGATTTTCAATCTATGGTCTTCAGGAAACAATCTCAGTTTTTAGGTACTGCATGGCTTTGTAGGGTGGGACAAGCCTGGATGAAGGCCAGAGAATAATTCTGAGTGTGGCACACTGGAAACTAAGAGTATATTGCCTCTAACAAGGTCATCATTTATCCAACAACAGATAATTCTGTTCTCTGACCATGCCCGCACAATACTCAACAGATTGGTTTTGCTGGATAGTAAAAGCCAACACATGAATTCCCATTCCAAATGAATCATGCTTTTACTAGTGTGATCAACTATATGCTATATATTGAGGAGGAAGGGTAGTGTTGGTTTTGTTGCTTTTTAATTCCAAAATTACTTTTTCAAAGATGTTTCCAAGATTCTTGTCTACTTGTTGAGTGAATCTGACATTCCACACTTTTACTTACATAATCTTAACAGCAACAGAAATTGGTACTTACCTCCTCTGTACAGTAATCATTTCCTTAAAATTTCCTAGTCATCCTAAAGGTTTTAAATTAATTTCTAAACCTACTTCATTCTTTTTGTTTGTTTTCATCAATAGTTTCACCTTTACTCAGTCTCCTAAATGTCTCCTAAATTTTCCATCTACTTCAAAATCAAGATAAATATTGCATATTCCTAGAAAATTCTCAGTTCAATAGAATATATTCATGTATATATATGGTCTCTAGAGACCTAATCACAAATGAAGAATATATGAGCTTAAATATTCTGAGGCCACAGATTGTTTCTCTAGTAGCATAATTGTATATCACTGCATAAAGAACAAAACAACTATTTAGCTAAACCAACAGGGTGCAGTTAAGTCAACATTTGCAGCAGTTACAGTCTAATTCCACAGCACAGTGAAAACACAAGAGCAGGGATGGGCTATATTCCCTGGTACCACATATACAGGGTGTGGTGCACACCTGTCATTCTAGCACTTGGGACATGGAGGCAATCTAATCAAAGTGCAAGGTTATTCCTGCATATGCAGTCTGAGATCAACCCTGGACCCTTAAGACCCTGAGGGCTGGAGAAATGGCTCAGTGGTTAAGAGCAGTGGCTGTTCTTGCAGAGAACTTGAGTTCAGTTCCCAACACCCACATGGCTATTCACAACCTCCTGTATGTAACTCAAGTTTCAGAGCATCTGACATTTTGTTCTGGTATCCAGCAGCACCAGGCACTCAAAACATTCATACATGTAATTTTTTTTTGAAAAAAAATAATAGATAAAACTACAGCCAGTCATTTAAACCCAGTACTCTAAATGCAGAAAAAGAAAGATCTATATGACTTTTAGGACAGCCTAATCTATATAGCATGCTCCAGGCCAGCCAAGGTTACATAATGAGATCCTGTCTCAAAACAAAAATAAAATAAAATTTTAGAAAATACTAAAACAACAACAGAAATAAAACCACAAGGGCAAAAGAAACAGAACAAAAGGATTGAGAACATTAACCAAGAAGTCATCACCTAATCAGGGGTATATTTCTTTTAAGGTACAAAGAAAATTCTAGGGTTGGAGAGCTGGCTCAATGGTTAAGAACATTTGCTATCTTCCGGAGGACCCACGTTCAGTTCTTAGCACCCACACTGCATAGCTCACAACCACCTCTAACTCCAGTTCCAGGGAATCTCACATATTCCTCTGATCATTACATGCATGTGATGAACATATGTACACTCCGGCACACATGCATAAATAAATCTCTGAATATAAAATTCTGACTTGTAGAAAAGTTTATTATATAAAGAAACAAAGAATATTTGTAAATATGACAAAGAATGAAATGAAAATTGAGAGTCCACATTTATCCTAATTATTGCAGTGTTTTTTCACCCTTGTGGATACAAATGTTTATCAACAACTAAAATTCAACATGAAATTAATGGAAGTCAAAGAGTTCTAATCAACAAATGTCAATCTAACAGAATAGCCAATGCCTTCTCAGATGCCTAACAAAAGAACGTCACTTATTCATTTTTTACTACCTAAGTGAATTTAGACTGTTCATATCTCTATTGTAATGTAAGTTCTGTTTTTTTTTTTTAAAAATAGGATTTATTATGTTACTGCCCTACCCTTCCCCATGTATAACCACTAACTGAACACAGTTTTAACAACAGAGAAACATGAAGCACGAAACAAAAATGACATTTTGGATTCTGTTTTTTTTTTTTTTTTTTTTTTTTTTGGGGGGGGGGGGGGGATGTTGTTGTTGTTATTTTTTAAGACCAAAAAGGAATTCTTGGCCTCAGAAGTTGGTGCTGCATGCCTTTAATCCCTGCACTCAGGAGGCAGAGGATCTCTGTGAGTTGAGAGGCCAGCCTGGTCTATAGAGTGAGTTCCAGGACAGCCAGGGCTACACAGAAAAACCCTGTCTTGAAAAGAAAAAACAAAACAAACAACAACTTTAAAAAAAAAAAAAAATCAATATACTCTTAAGCAAGCAAGCAGAATAAACCAGCATCCCATCCCTTCTGGGTTAGCTCAGAATGAAGTGGTCCTGTCAGCCCTGTTCTATGAGGAGTGATTGTGCTCTAATTCTCTAAGAAGAACATTTCTGCTACCATTTCAAACTATATAAATATGACTACAAACTACAACGCATACACAAAATAATACAATTTATTTTTAAAATAGTTATCTGCTTAGTGAAGCTTAGCCATGAAAGTGTTAATAACTCATTAAAGATGTATACCACAGCAGGTCACTACACAGACTCTAAGTTCAAGTAGATTTACTCTTCATTTTTACAGTGGTCTCATTCTTAGCCAAATTCAGTAACAAATAACATTTCTTATTTTAATAGCTTGGCTACTAAGTAGATGAACATTATAAAATATAGAAAACGTTCACTGAATATAAACTTACTTTTCAGCAAAATCTTTACATCTCCATTTTCTTTCTTGATCTCAGTCATTACTTTATGTTTCTTTTTCTCTCTCTCTTTTTCTTTGTCTCTCTCTTTAATTTTGTCTCTGATTTTATCTGAAAATGGGAAAAAATTTTAAACTGTTAAGATCTTTTTTTCTTCCATGAAATTTAGCTCAATTTCTAGAAATATAATACATGAGACAACGGAGTGTAGTTATACCGGCCTTTGATTTGAGCAGTGGCAGGCGGATGGCAGCAAGCTGGAGGCCAGCCTAGTTTACACATTGAGTCCAGAGTAGTCAAGGGCAACATAATAACAACCAACCCCCCCCCAAAAAAAAGACAAAACAACTACAGAACAAAAACAAAATAAAACACCATACATAAAAAATCATGATGACTAGAAAAAATGTGCCATTTATTTTTTTTCTTTCTCAGTTTTGGGACATATTTCTTCTACATTTCTTCCACTAAGCATACAATACAGATCAAAATTTAATCACTGCACATTTAATTTCAATGATTATTTTTCACTGATTTCATGTCGACCACAATACAGAATTGATTCAAATAACATAAAACAATAGGCTATCTTTACTGGAGTAGACAAATAGACTGGAAAGTTATAGGTCTAAAACTGAGCACATTCATATAGTTAACGAACTTCCAACCCTGAGTTTGGTAGTGGACACCATCCTCACAGGATTATCACATGGATTCAATGAAGATAGGGAATGACAACACAGAGCTCTTTCCCTCTCTTCTCCCGCTGTTCCCTGGGGACAGACAGGACTTTTCCTGTCTCCCTCTTCTCCTCTGTCCTCTCTAACTCTGTGTCTCTTTACCTCTTTTCTCTTCCTCCCCCATTTCCCTTTCTAATAAAACTTCTCATTTTAAAAAAAAAAAAAAAGAGCTACAGTAAGACTAGACACTAGTTCCCTTAACCACCTACATTTTAGGAAGAACATGGCTAGCTAGTAAAACTGTAATATTAAATTATAGGGCATAAGAATCTATTGATCTATATCCTAAAAATTCAAACAACTTTATGAAATGCATACTATCTTACTAATTTTTGTTTGTTCAGTCATCACCCTATTAATCTAGTCAAGGATAAATGCAGAATGAAGACAAAGCAATACGTCCCTTGCCTTTAAAAGCGTATTATTATTACAAAGCTATATTGGAAGCACACAATCTTGTAAACAGAGATTTTTACAACGTATCCCTTAAAAACAAACTTCTTACCGACCCAGATTCCCTGAATGTGGGTGTTAGTTAGGAGGCCTGGGCAGTCTATGGGGCCTCTGGTAGGGGATCAGTATTTATCCCTAGTATACAAATGGACTTCAGGAGCCCATTCCACATAGAGGGATACTCTCTCAGCCTAGACACATGGGAAAGAGCCTAGGCCCTGCTCCAAATGATATGTCAGACTTTGAAGACTTTCCATGGAAAGCCTCACCCTCCCTGGGAAGAAGAAAAGGAATGGAATAGGAGGTTGGTGGGGGGAACAGGGGAGGATAAGAGGGTGAAGGAATTAGGATTGACATGTAAAACAAGTTTGTTTCAAATTTAAATTTTAAAAAAGTGTAAAAAAAAAATGTAAGTCTGATGAGAAAAGAAAAAAAAAACCACTTCTCCTTACTTTCTTTTCCTAAGTGTTACCCTAATTCGGGCAATAATCATATGATAACTAGAATAGCATTCCCAATCAGATCCTAGCAAAAATATAATACCAGCTGCAAATTTGCATTTTCCAGCAACCACATTAAAAGCATAATAAGCAACAGGGTAAATTACTTTTGGTAACACATTTTACTTAACCCAATACATCCAAAAACATCATTTCAACAAAAATGATGTTGTTTTTAAATTACTGAAATATTTTACATTCACGCCCTCCCCTTTCTTGCGCGTGCGTGCGTGCGTGCGTGCGTGCGTGCGTCTGTCTGTCTGTCTGTCTGTCTGTCTGTCTGTCTGTCTGTCTCTGTCTGGTATATACCACAGCATGCATGTGGAGGTCTGAAGACAACTATGGAATCAAGCTCTTTCCTTTACCTTTACCTGCACTCTGGAGATTGAACTCAGGCCATCAAGCTTGGGGAGCAGACACCTTGACCTGATGAGCGATCTCACTAGTAATGAGAAACTGAAAATCTGATCTTAACTACCTCCTTTAAATTTCTTGCAATTCTCCAACATGGCACAGCTATGATAAATTGAGGCTACAATCTCAAAAGACAAAAGTTCAAAGTTCATTGCTGCAAGCTTGGTAACCATCAAGCTTTAGACCCCTCCTGGTCTTGAATATAAAGTTTTCATGGTATTATAGGCATGAGGCAAGCAGAACCCTGTGAGTTCGAGGCCAGCCTGGTCCACACAGTGAGTTCCAAAACTGCCAGAGCTACATAGTGAGACCCTGTCTCCAAAGGAAAAAAAGAAAAGTATAGTTTTATTTTTCACAGTCTAATCTAAAGTTTAGACTAAATTTTCTAACTTGTCTTCTCATCATAAGCCTTTGAATGGCAGCAAGAAATAGTCTACTGTAAGAACACTTACTGTTCAAGACAGTTACTGGCAAAAGATCAGAAGAACAAAACTGGCCATCACAAACACACACACCTTACAGTATTTGATGTCTGACAACGGAGGAGTGAACGTAATGAGAAAAGAGTATTTTCAACAGACAACACCACACCTAGCTAGTCATGCTCAAAACAAAGGAGAAACTACAGAAACTGCCAGAAGACATTAAAGATCTACATGAAGCGGGGGGAGCCAGTGATATTGCACAAAGGTAATGAGTCAAAGGAAAAACTGGTAAGCTAGATTCATTAATGTTCTTCAAGAGACACTATGGAATATAGAAACACAAACCACACAAGAGAAAAAAATAACCATCAATTACTATTAGTCAATATAGACTCCTCTAAAGATGGGCAACAGAGCCAGATTGGGTCAAAGACCTTACAATAAAAAGCACAGGAGGCTGAGTGGTGGCACACACCTTTAATCCCAGCACTCTAGAGGGAGAAGAAGGATCTCTGAGTTTGAGGACAGCATGGTCTAAAGTGAGAATTCCAGAACAGCCAAGGCTACAGAGAAACGCTGTCTCAAAAAACAATAAAATAAAATATATGCATGCAAAGATATGCTTCACACCAGAACTGCAAAATACAAGAAGTCACTATGTAACTATTAAATTGGCCAAAATCCCACTTGCTAGCAAGCAAGAGGAACAACAGGAATTCTCACTCACTGCTAGTGGGAATGCAAGACATGTGAGTGTTTTCTTATAATACCACACATATTTTTATGAGTCAATAAATTTCACTGCTTAATCTACACAAAAACACATAAATAGTTATACCAAGTTCATTCAGAATTATCCAAAACAGAAGGAAGCAATCAAGATATCCTTCAGTGAATGAATGTAAACTCTGACACATCCAAGGGATGGGATATTCTTCAATACTAAAAGGAGAAAGGAGCTATGAAGCCATGCAAAGAGAGAAAACTTATGTGAGTATCACTAACTGAAAGAACACTGTTTAAAACACCACATACTACATGACTCCAAAAACACAAGACTCTAGAAGAGCCTAGAGCTTAATAGACAGCTAGCAGAATTGGCATTCTGGCAGAATTGACAAACCTCAGGATCCAATAAGATAACCTATCTAAAAAAAAAAAAAAAAAAGAAAGAAAGGAGGGCCATCAACATGGCTGAGCTGTAAAGCAGCTGACCACCTGGAACACATATAAACGGGAAAAATGAGAATCAACTACACCAAAACTGCCCCCTTACCTCCACACATGCACATACACTGACAAATAATAAAGTAGTGGCTCCTGAGGACCACAGATTGAATGCTGCCCTCCACATGTACCCCACAACACACACAAAACAAACAGCAACAAAAAATGTTTAGAACAGAGTGGAAGAATATATAAAATCTTCCTGATATAGTACATGAAAAGAGGCTATTAATGTGCATATGTATACTAACACACATATCTGTATATATAAGCATGTGTACATCCACAGTCAGATTTCAAAACAAGAGAAACTACTTAAAGCATGACACACACACACACACACACACACACACATACACACACACACACACAATAAAGAGAGAAAGAGAAAGAGAGATGGCGGAGGGGGTTCAAGTTGTCCTTTGCCAAATAGCATCATGATCATTTTGGTCATCCAAGAATGCAAACATTGAACTGTGCTCAAGTAAATTAAGGAGTAAATACAAAAAAAAAGTAAAGTAAATAAAAGTAAAGGACATGCACACCTGGCTTAGAAGATAGCCAGTTACTGCTAAGTGTAAACAAGGTCACTACAAACCAAGACATCCAAGGAGCAGAGTAGCAATGAGCATCGTGCACTGTGTAAATAAACAAGGGAAATTTTTAAGACTTTAATAAAGCCCTACAGAAAAGGATCTCTGACCTGGATTAAATTATATTTGCAAAGTCAAATTGGTGATTTTACTAAGATGTGGGAAATGATTAAACTGAGTTTAGGGGTTGAAGGCATAGCTCAACTGGTAATGTACTTGCCTAGAATGCACAAAACCCATCCCTTACCCATGTCCCCCAGCACCAGATTAACCACACGTGATGGCTCATGCCTGTAATCCCAGCACTGAGGCAGTAGAGACAGAAGGATCACAGCTTCAAGATCACCCTAGCCCATACTCTCACTCATTACCCACATTTTAGTAAAAAGGAAGTTCTTTTAAAAGGTTTACTGGTGGCTGGAGAGACAACTCAACAAGAGCACTTATTGCTCTTGCAGAAGACCAAAGTTCAAAATCCTAACAAAATCCGTTAGTTTGCTTAATAATTTTTAAAAAGCTAAAACAATGAGTGTCTCAAAAGGGCAACACATTAATTAAATCTCTTCAAAATGGTTAATCATATCCCTCTTTTGCTAAAACAAATTAAACAAATTTGACTTGCTTCTGCCTAACTAAAAAAAGAAAATGCCATTGGTGTTAGCAGGGCTTAGAAGTTCCATTATTCAGACTGGAGGAGGACATAGTTTAAGAGTTCAGGCTTGGGAAAATAGGGTAAAGCTATGCCTCACAGAATAGCAG